CCGGCGCCCGTCGGGCCTGAGCTTTCTCGCCACTCCGGCGCCTCGTGCCCACGAGCTCCCACGGAGGCGTTTGCCCAGCCGACAGGCCCCGTTCGGGGTCCCTCACGGACTGACGGGTTAGGCCCCGCCGCGTTTCAGGGCGAATGGGAACGGGCGGAAACGGAGGAGGAGGGTTGGGGGCAGCGAGGAGCGCGGGAGGAGGAGGCTGAGTCCGGCCCTCGGGCATGCAGCGGCCAGTTGGCGGGTCTCCCTCGTCCCCACTTCACAAACGGGTTTCAGGCTGGGTGTGGGCGGCAGCCGCCAGGCCTGCCAGGACAGTGTGGGATGTGGCGGGAAGTCGCCCCCGAGTCGTGGGAGGTGCCCGAGTCAGGCACCAGCGACAGGAGACGGTCTGGAGGTTTAATGTGACTCCTCAGCTGGCGCAGCCGCCTGTGGGCGGCCAGCTACCAGCGTGGTCGCTGCCCTGCCACTGCTGCTGTCCCCGGCGTCCGGAGGCCCGTCTGCATCCCGCAGTCCGCGTCACCGTCGTTGCGTGCGGCTGGCCAGTGGTCCCCCAGAGGCGGCGTCTCGTCCGTTGCCATGGCCAAGGCAGCGTCCACCTGCCCTTGAGCCTGGCCCGAGCTTGAGCCTGGGGGTGCTGGGTGGCGAGGCGCTTGATCTCTGCCCTGCCCGGGGACGCCCAGACGGGCTCGGGTCCCACCGGCGCCCCCGCGCCAACACCGCTCCGTGTTTCACTTTGCAGGTGTCTGTGAGCTTCGATGACGTGGCCGTGACTTTTACCCGGGAGGAGTGGGGACAGCTGGACCCGGCCCAGCGGACCCTGTACCAGGAGGTGATGCTGGAAAACTGCAGGCTCCTGCTGTCCCTGGGTGAGGCCGCCCCGCCCACCGCGTGGGGGACAGTGGGCTCCGGCTCCAACTCCGGCCCCGTGATGGTGGCGGCCAAGGGGACGGTCTCTGGGGCCCTTCCTCCTCCCGGGACCTGGAGCCACCTTGCAGGCTTATGTCTTCCCGCCGGTCTCTGTGTCCTTTGGGAAGAGAACATGGTAGAAAGAAATGGGGTGTCCTGTAGAACCCCAAGGTAGGAATTTAAGCCAGGCTCTGGAAGGAAGCGGGCCCGCCACAGTTGTGCTCTGGTTTCTGGTCTCTCGAGTCCCGTTTCTCCTTGGGTCTGCTGTGTCACTGCCTTTTCAGAGTGCTGTTCTCGGCCTCAGCGGGTTGTGGCGCAGGAACCGCCCTGGCTGCCACTCTGCATATTCATGTTTTGTTGTTTTCTGTGCAGTTGTACTGGGGTGGGGTGGGAGGACTTTGAGGCAGACGCCCCAGTTCCCTGGACCTCCGCCCAGCGCAGACTAGCCTCTGTCCACATTGCACACTTCAGGAAGGGACCCGCTGGCGTAAGCCTGGCAGGCCCGGGCTGTGGTGAAGGGGTGGGCTCTGCCAAGAGGGGGTCAGGCGGCTGTACAAGCCTTGCCTGCTGGCACCGGGACTGTTCTCAGCACGTCCGGATTTGAGGGCTCCCTTGCCTGCTGCCCATGCTCCGCCGTCCTTACCGAGGGGCCTGATCTCTGCCAGCACTGGACAGAGAAGGGCTTCTCAGCGCTCGGTGCTTTTGACCCCCAGCAGGCTCTGCAGCCGCTGGAGCATCAGCTGGCTGAAGGCAGAACAGGCATCTGGTGCGGAGCCCAGAGATGCTCTCAGTGTCCGCCGATGGACAGGCCAGCCCTTCTCAGCAGCAGATCTTCCTGTCCGAGGAGGGGAGCACAGCTCAGATGGTTCTCTCTTTGGGAATGGTCGCCTTAGACCCTTGAATATGGGGGGGGGGGTGGCTGTGAACCCTCAGCGAAGGCCAATCAAGCCTGTGTTGACAGAAGAGAAATGCCGGGTCAGTGAGACGAGATTAGACAGGTAGAAAGGCTGGCTATTTACATGTTTTCTAAAGAAATTATGCCCCTGTGTGGCCCCGGCTGCGGACGGCCCTCTTCTGTTCCCGAGCTCGCTCTGCTCCCGCCATGCGGGCTTTCTCTTCACCAGCCCACTTACCGCCTCCGGCACTGTGCTCGCGTTTTCTCTGCTGGTGGCGGCCTGACAGTTCCGGTCTCCCGCAGGGCAGCCCAGTCGTGTCTGGACCAGGTGACTCCCGGTGCAGACTCGGGGAGGCGGGGAGCCTCTGTTCATACCAGTCAGCCGGTGATCCTCACTCAAGGATGATGCTCCCTAGAGCACACTCAGCCGTGTCCGGGAACGTCATGGGTGTTCCCAGGAGGACCTTGCTGCTCCAGGCATCTGTGGGTGGAGCGTCAGGTGTCAGGGTGCTGGGGTTGTGCGTCCCCGGTGGACACCTCGTCTAGGGCATTGAGAAACGCCTTTCCATTTGTGTTGAAGTAAAATCTGGATTCGGTGGTCTTAACACAAGTCTTCCACCTCAGCCTTGCTCTTTTGCACTGTGAAGGGCCCGGAGGGCTTGCGAGCCTGAACAGCATTGTTTTGACTTCACTGCTGTATTGAAGGCTGAGCTGCCTCAAGGCAAGTGCCTCTTGCGTTTGCCCCTTACCCGAGGGGCATGGTTCCCTTCTGGAAGGAATCTGAGGAAACGGAGAGTAAGTCCCTTTCGTAGGAGCGCTGGGAAACAGTCACGGCCGGCTTGGGGCCTGTGAGACAGGCGGCGTGACAGGCCTTTTCCAAGCACTGTTTCTGCTCTGCCCACTTAGTTCTCATCTGATCATCAGCAAAGTCAGGAAAACTACAGGAGGCCCTCCGCAGCCCGGCTTACTCGCCATGGAGGCTTCTGGAAAGCCTTACTCTGGAGCTTTTCTTGTAGAAAGTGTTGTTTTTCTTTTTTTCCAGGAAAGGCGGGTGCTGGTAGATGGCTTGCTGTATGTGTAAATGCCCAGGCATGCGCCAGAACTGAGTTGCAGATCGCAGTTCTCTTCTCTCATGCCCCCTCCCCATTGCTTGAGGGTGACTGCCCGTTCCCATCCCGGTCTGGCACCATCCTTCGTTTGGGCGCAGCCTCTGCCCCTCCCTCACACAGGGGTAGTCGCTCTTGCCGTGCTGCTTGGAGGAACAGGGTGGTGTCATCCTCTGCTCTTCGGTCCCAGCTGCGCCTTAGAAACTGGCCCTGGGCAAGCTGCTGGGTCTGTGTGCCAGGTGGTGAGCTGGGGCACGAGGTGTCTGCCTCCTGGGACTCCAGAAAGGGTTCCTGGCTGCTTCGTGCGCGCAGCGCCTGGCGGGTGGGGCCAGCAGTGGCGACGCCGCTGTCACCTCTGGTCTTGCTGCTCTCACCCTCCAGGACTCTTGTCCTGCCTACGCCTGCACTCAGGACCTTCCGGAGCCAGGTCGTGTAGCCTCATGGTGGGCAGACCTGGGGTTCCGTAGTGGCGATGACATTCACAGGCTCTCTGCTTGTTGGAAAGTCAGGTTATCTCCGAGCCTTGGTGCTTCCTGTGTTGAAAGGTGCTCACAGGACATGTGCTGGCCGGGGATGCTGTGAGGAAACCGCTGAGCTGCTTGTACCTGTGGTCTGTGCCGGCAGTGCTGCGAGGCCCCCGGTGGCGCAGGGGTTCAGTCTCAGCTCTGTGACACTGCCCGGCCACGTCAGCCTGACCCCATCCCCGGCCAGAGAGTTGACCCACAGGGCGCAGCAGACCCCTCCAGTCTTGCCCACTGCTTCCTCAGTGTTCTGCTCCCCACTCTGGCTGAAGAATCCTCTCATTCCCCATCTCTGGTCTGGGATCTTGTCCACATCCTGAAGTTGCATATAGAGAAGTTTTATTTGTTTACTTAATTTAGAAATTCCTTGTCCTCTCTCTCCATGAATAGGGTGTCCTGTGCCCAGACCTGAGTGCTTCTACCAGCTGGAGCACAGACAGGAGCCATGGATAGTGAAGGAAGACCTCTCCCAAGGCATCCGTCCAGGTAGGAGCCAAGAGGGGTCCGTGGGAGGCCTGTAGGCTTGGTTGTGGCCTGGGAAATCGGGCAAAGCCGCGTGTCCAAGAAGAGCCAAGTTGTGTAGCTTTATGATGGCCAGACCTGGGGTTCCAGGAAACCACCTGTTCCTGGAAACCCTAGCAGTGATATTTGCATGTGTAATATTTTGATAAGAGATAACATGATCAAAATGCATGTATTTTACATAATCAGTGTTACCCACAGTTCCCCTTTGAAGCTCCTGAATATTGTGAGTGGTAAAAGTAGCTCTTTCTGTGTTAATGACAATAACTTCTGGAAAACCCTTTAGGGTGGTTGGTGGTTACAGGGAAACCAACCTGCATAGAGGTGCAGACCTTGCACCCCAACTCCATGATCTCCAGGGAGGGGAAGGTTGATCATTTGCTTTCCAGAATATCAGCACTTTGGCGTCTTATTCGGTGTCCGTTACAGATATTTCACCACTAGTTTTTGACAGCACTGTCTTCTTTGTGTTACGTTGCTTTCAGTAAGAAACATTTAGGTTTTTCCTCTTCTTCTCAGCAATCCCCTAGTAGTAGCCTCCTGTCAGTAACATGGCCTCCGCTCCCACGCGGAGCGTGGTGCTCACAGCCCAGGGTTGCATCTGAACACAGTGGTCCGAGGACTTACACTGTCCGCCATGCACCAGTCTCCCGAATTATGTCAGAAACTATGGCTGTAGTTCTAAGCCACAGTTGAAATAAGACTAGCTTTCACACTTACTAACTTCAAGATTCATATTATTCTGCTAAATCATGTACTTGAAGCTGGAGTTAACAGACCATTGCTGCAGTACCACTAGCTTTACGTCGTGGTCCATGTGTGTGCGTTATCCGGTCTCCACTGCCTCACACTTGGAGTTACTGGCGAACATTCATGTCACTTGCCGGGGTCTCGAGCCTTCCTGGTGGGCAGGTTTAGTGGTAACAGACTCCTCAGCTTTTATGTCGTGGGAGTTGCTTACGTTCTCCTTCACACTTCAAGGACAGTTTTGCAGGATATAGGAACCTGGGGTGACAGATTTCATCTTTTTTTTTTTATGCACACAAGAACTTGGGTACAGGCCAGAGGTGTGGGGGTGGTAGGATTCACCAGACAGAGTGGGGAGCAGAACAGGTGGCTCCACTGCTGAGGGGAACAGCGGGGAGACAGGAGAGGTCTGCTGCGCCCTATGGGTCACCTCCCTGGCCAGGAATCGAACTCATTCTGCAGTGGCCATGGATTGCTTCATAGTGTTGTACTCTAACCTGATGTGCCACCAAGGAGGGCCCAGATTTCATCTTTTACAGTTGCGTATGTTGGCCCATTTATCTTCAGTCTCCCAGTTTTTTTTTTAAAGAGCTGGGGTGCAGGCTAGAGGTACAGGAGGAGGGTAGTGAGAAGATCCACTAGAGACATTGGGGAGTAGAACAGGCAGATCCATTGAAACCACTGCTGAGGGGGCAGCCAGAAGAAAGGCGGGGCTGCTGCGCCCTGGGGGGCACTCCTCGACTGGGGATCCAGACTCAGGTTGTAGTGGCTGATGATTTCTGGATAGCGTGGAGACTTAACCCCTAGTTCTTGTACCCCAGGGAGGTCCTGGGCGCCCATGTTTCTAATGAGAAATTGGCTGAGTATCTCACTGAGAATTCCTTGAATATGAAGGATTGCTTCGGTCTTGTTATGAAGGTTCTTTTATCTTAGGTTTTCACAAGTTTCATTGTCATTCCTTGGAGTCAGTCTTGGAGTTTGTTGAGCTTCTTTGGTGTTCACAGAGTTCTGTCAGATTTGGGAAGTTTTCAGATGTTTCTTCACTGATGTCAAGTGACCCTTTTTCCTCCCACGGAGTATGTTCGTTCACTTGATGGCTTATACTTCCTGTCTCTTTTGTTATTTCTTTTTCTCAGAACTCAGTAATTTCCATTTTCCTACCATCAGATTCACTAATTTGTCTTCCCTCTGTTCATATTTTCCTTTGAATCTATCTAGTGAATTTTTCAGTTAGCTTTTCTGCTCCGTAATTTCTTTTTAAGTGTTTTTAAGTCTTTATTGACATTTTTAAAAACAGTTTTTGTGATTTTCATATCCCGTTAGTTATTTAGTGTTCTATAAGATGATCATTGTATAGTCTTTGTTCAGTAGAACCGTGATTTGTCAAGTATACTTTTTGGAGTGTTTCCAAATTTGAGCTACCATGTCCTCAGGGATTTGAGGTGCCCCTTTATGAGGTGCACTCATAGGGTGCAATATCGCATGTACACAAGGAATTTCACCCTCAGGTGCCTGACTTTAAGCACGATACATATGCACAGTGGACTGAAATATGGCTTTCATTTGTGTGTTGTCTCTTCCACAGTCCCACTTGTTATCGAAGGACCCAGTGCTGCAGCCCACTCTCCTCATTGACATGCTCTTCTGTTTTATGTAGGTTAAAATTACTAGCAGGCCATGACATGTATTGGGTTTCTTTCAGGCAACAGAGGAAAACTCGAGAACACAGGACCTACAGCTCGTGAGCCACGTCTGTCTGAGACTTCCTCATTTAATGAACAGCTAACACAAGAAGCCTCACAAGACCCCCAGCTGAGCCAAACCCAGGGTGCAGGTGGGCTGGCAGCCCTGCAGGAACAACACTTGAGACCAGAAAGAGAGCCCTGGGAGGAGATGAGCCTGGGGAAACGGAGTGCTGAACACGACAGCTCCGGCGCAGCCCCTGGCGTGGGGCCCAGGGCTGTACAGGAGCCAGCCCCGCCGGCAATTGCTGTGCTTGGCCTTAACTCATGGGAGCCAGGTAAAGAACTCGTGAATCCGGAGGAAGAAAATGTCTTTAAATGCAGTGAATGTGGGAAGGTTTTTAACAAGAAACGCCTCCTTGCTCGACATGAGAGGATTCACTCTGGAGTGAAGCCCTATGAATGCACAGAGTGTGGGAAAACCTTCAGCAAGAGCACTTACCTCCTCCAGCACCACATGGTCCACACGGGGGAGAAGCCCTATAAGTGCATGGAGTGTGGGAAGGCCTTCAACCGCAAGTCACACCTCACGCAACACCAGCGCATTCACAGTGGTGAGAAGCCTTACAAGTGCAGTGAGTGTGGAAAGGCCTTCACCCACCGCTCTACTTTTGTCTTGCATAACAGGAGCCACACTGGAGAAAAACCCTTTGTGTGCAAAGAGTGTGGAAAAGCCTTCCGAGATCGCCCAGGTTTCATTCGACATTATATCATCCATAGTGGTGAGAACCCCTATGAGTGCTTCGAGTGTGGCAAGGTTTTCAAACACAGGTCATACCTCATGTGGCACCAGCAGAGCCACACGGGAGAGAAGCCCTATGAGTGCAGCGAGTGTGGGAAAGTCTTCTGTGAGAGCGCAGCTCTCATTCACCACTACGTCATCCACACGGGGGAGAAGCCCTTTGAGTGCCTCGAGTGTGGGAAGGCCTTCAACCACAGGTCTTACCTCAAGAGGCACCAGCGGATTCACACTGGGGAGAAGCCCTACGTGTGCGCTGAGTGCGGAAAGGCCTTCACCCACTGCTCCACGTTCATCTTGCATAAAAGGGCCCACACTGGAGAAAAGCCTTTTGAGTGTAAGGAGTGTGGGAAAGCCTTCAGCACTAGGAAAGACCTGATTCGCCACTTCAGCATCCACACTGGAGAGAAGCCGTATGAGTGCACGGAGTGCGGGAAGGCCTTCAACCGCAGGTCAGGCCTCACGAGGCACCAGCGCATCCATAGCGGTGAGAAACCCTATGAGTGCACGGAGTGCGGGAAATCCTTCTGCTGGAGCACAAACCTGATTCGGCACTCTGTCATCCACACTGGGGAGAAGCCCTACGAGTGTGGTGAGTGTGGGAAGGCCTTCAGTCGAAGTTCATCCCTCACTCAGCATCAGAGGATTCATGGTGGGAGAAACCCTGTCAGGATGACAGATGTGGGAAAACCCTTCACAAGCAAGACGGCGTCAGTTGACCTCCAGGAACTCTTGTCGGGGAAGGACTTTTTGAATGTAACCACTGAGGAAAGTCTTTCGCCAGAGGAAGCATCTTACTCAGAATCAGCTCATTCATACCAAAGAGAAACGTCTCAGTTTTCTTCACAATAGAAAATTTTCTGTTGCAGAATGTCAGTTGCACCTGAAGACTCTGGAAATTGACCTGGCCTGGATCCTGTTCCACATCCTGGATTTCATCATGGAGACATAAAATGATTAGCATGTAGTTAGGACAACTGCCAGCTCTCTCTTTCTCTAGTTTCTCAGCAGTGTTATCTCAGGAAATACTTTTAAAGAGACTTAAAAGAGAAACTGAAACTAGATCAGTTTCCTTCAGAATTCCTTGCCAAGCCTGTGGCATTTTGTCATGGACCCATTGTTTCTGCAGCAGGAGAAGAGATTCACTTCAGAGTCAAGGACTGAGACTGTCTTGCACCTGTAGTTCTTGCTGCCCGGTGTCAGTAAGACAGGCGTGGCGGCAGGTCCGCAGACTTCAGAATTTTGATATCTTCTTGTTCTAAAATAGTGTCTGCCCCTCAGCAGCTTAATTTGGGGGAGAAATATGAAGACCTAAACCACCAAATACCTTTATATTTGAGGAGATAAATTACACGTACAAATGAGCACGTCAAGACAGTTTGATGCTTTGCTTTTTAGTGAACAAACCTTTTCTTTGTGTGCTTTTAGAGAGCTGATGCTCAATGTCCCTGGACCTGCTTCTGTCGCTCTGCTTGCTTGCCACAGCTGTGTGATAAACCTCTTCAATGGGGTCAGGTGGTTCTTTTCCTTTCCCTTACTGAACATTGACGTAACACTCCCAGTCACTGTGAATTTCCACCTAGTTTTGGAAACTCTTGTCTGTTTTTATCCAAAAACGATCTTTTATTGTATGTTGGTAGGAATTGAGTTATAATTGGTGCACTGAGTCAGTGTCTGTACTGTGTTGAGCTTCCACTTCATGAAGTTTTCTGTCTCTACATTTATTTAAGTTTGCTTGACTTATTTTGCTACTGTTTTATAAATTTCAGTAACAGGTACTATATGGTTTCTCTCTTTTTTTTTTTAAAGGTTTATTTATTCATACAGAACTAGGGTACAGGCCAGAAGTGATGAGAGGATTCACCACAGACACAGTGGGGAGCAGAACAGGCAGATCGACGAAGTCCACTGCTGAGGGGAGCAGCGGGCGGTCAGGAGAGGTCTGCCATGCCGCGTCACCTCCGGGGTGGGCGGGAATCGAACTCATGCGGGAGTGGCTCTCCGGGGTGGGCGGGAATCGAACTCATGCGGGAGTGGCTTAAGCTTCTTAGTGCTGTGCTTTAACCCACTGCGCCACCAGGGAGGGCCCTTTCTTTGCCTAGTTTTTATAAAACTAAAAACCCCTGTGAATGCAGCAGACCTGCAGCCCAGGGTCGAGGTTCTCCAGTGGTTAACAGGTGCTGGCACTGCAGTCCCGAGTTGCCAGGGGAGGCCCCGGGCCTCAGCGCAGCTCCTGCCGCGGGGAGCCGCAGGTTGCCTGAGCGCGGTCCGCAGCACAGCTCTCCGCGTGTCCTCTCCCAGGACGTCCTCAGGAGGGTCACTCCTCTTCCGGGGTCGCTTAACGCTTGTGGTGACCACCTTGCCCTCCCCCAGCTTGCCCAGGACACCCCCACTGCTGATGTCGACCTGCCCTCCTGATCCTCTCCGTCCCCACGGTCCGCGCCTGTGTTCACGTCTGTGTCACCCCAGGCGCGGTCTGCGCCGCTCACCCAATGGGCTCCGCTTCTGTCTCATGGTCATTGCACCACTGCCCTGTCCACCTCTCCCGACGTCCCTGCCACTCCCCAGTGGAGAAGGCCTCAGCATGAAGCACCTTTGTGTCCCACCCGCCCCTTTTATCGGGCCCTTTGCTGGTGGCCACCTCTGACTCGAAGGCCTTTGCCAGTCTCTCAGAGTCTCTTCCCCACCTGTTAAACAGGATCTTTCTTTGGCCTCTGCTTTTCTCACTTGTGATGTTCTCTGTGAGTCAGTTAATTCCCTCAAGTAATTTGCTCTCACTCATAAAATCAAGTTCACCCACATCCTTCTCTGCAGGTTGAATGATTCTCATGTCTGGTATCCAGCGGTCTTCCTTCCACATCTCTGTCTCTTACCGCTGCGCTTAAGCACTTACCTGTTATCATCACTCTGGCACATCCCCTGTTAGGAGCAGCCACTGTTTTTCATGACTTTTACACATCAACTCTTAACCTTTATAACCAGTCTAAGTGGTAGGTAATGTTCTCCCCGTTTCATAGGTCAGAAAACTGACGCAGCAACGAGAGTGCCCAAGGCCACACAGTTGACCAGGGTGTGCTTGACCAGGGGTTGGAGGCCATAAACGGGTCTGCAGAAGCCTGGGCGTTTTTTCTTTCCTTTACTGCTTCTCGTAAGATGAGGCTTGTTTTCCTGGTCACCTTTCCTTTTCACCAGAGTGCTCATTTGGCTGTAAGTCCCTGTTCTCATTTGACAGTCTGAGTGACGGGGACCTTCCTGCAATGTTAACTCTTCACAGAGACCAGTTGGGACTGAAGTGTTATGTCACCTGTCTTGTAATGGATACATAAGCAGCGTTGGCTAGGCCAACACGAAAGCCAGCTTTTGGTAAAGTTTGTACATGTGAAGCATCTTAAGAGAAATAGTCTTTCATGCCAGTGGAAATTCTCAAAGAATGAATTTAATTTGGTGGTGATGGAGAATGGTGAGAGAGAATGTGCCTCTCTGTGTATGTCTTCAGGTTACTGACTTGCAAATACTGCTGTTGGTCGCCCTTACTTCTATAAACATAGAGCGGCCAGGCCAATGTGTTCTGAATGTGTGTACAGTTGCTCCTGTACAGTTCCTGCTGTTGAAACTGGTATCCTTTGGTTCAACAAAGAATTCTTTAGAATGGGGGGTCGTAATTCCTCCCTAAATGCAGAATTGGAGATGCGTGCACTGCAGCCGCTTGGGCAGGCTCTGGGCTTGGCATGGATTCACTGGGAGCCTGGGCACTTAGGGTGCAGTAGGGGCACCCTGCGGGACTCGCTCTGGGAGCATGAACACCGTGCTGTCCCTTGCACAACACCCTGTCCAGCCTGAGGTGTGGGTGGCCAAGTGGCCCTGCAAAACTCAGGGTACTGCCCTTGGATTGTCAGAGTGGACAGGTTTGTCCTGCGCCCGGGGGCGTGTTCCCTGTGTCACCGTGCAATGAAGCGCATTGTAGACAGATGTGGAGCAGCGTCCTGCGCTTGGGACTGGGCCCGAGGGAGAGGGGGGAGAGCTGTCTTGTGCCCCTGAATTAGACATGAGTGATGATTCTTGTGGCATCACTCAAGAATGGGACTGAGGCCACTGACCACTGCGGCCGAGCGCGGTCCCCTGCGGCCTTCTGCCTGCTCTCCCTGTCAGGAGGCCCCTGCACAACAGCCTCCTGCACAAAGCTGCTGGCCCAGTCAGGGAACAGCCGTCACACGTGCACGCCCGGCCGCGACCCTGCGAGCAGGATCTCGTGGCCCGAGCCGGGCCAGCCCTGCCCTCATGCCCTTCTAGGCACTTTCTCCTAGTCTCTGGACGCCTAGGAAGCCTCTTGAAGTATCAGAGAATATAGCTGTGTCTCAGTAGTGGGAGGGAAATTAGCCTTAAAGACGGCCTGCTCGGGTCTCGGCCCCGGACGCCCGTTTCTGCGCTGGAGGTGCAGCCTGGGTGCGGCGGCTGCGTTCAGTGAGGGCGCCAGGGCCACTCCAGCGGCACGGCCTGGGGCCCAGGAGCGGGGGTCCCCAACACGCGTTGAGGTGGCCGCGGCACGACGCCCGGACGCTCCGCCCTGACGTCAACCCGTGGGCGCGGCCGGGCACCGGAAGTGCTCACGCCGCGGGGCGCCACCTACCTCCCCCAGAAGTCCGCGCGGCGTCCACCAACACCGGAGGGGCGTGTCCGCCACGGGCTGGACTTCCAGCGAGGCCCTGAGAGCCTTTGCCAAGCCCGCGCCGCCGCCCTGGCTGCAGTGCCCGTGAGTCCCGGGCCAGCTCTAACTGAGTTGGAGGGCAGCGGGGAGGGTCGCGGCGCGCGGAGGGGCCTCTCTGGGCCTGGGGGACCGGAGGCGACCGCCGCCCCCCAACTGGCCCAATGGCCGCAGCGCCGCAGGGACTTGGGGTCCGGGGGCGCGGGCAGGCTGCCCCGGGCCCAGGGCCGAGCTGGCGACCCAGGTGCCTGCGTGGCTGGTGGACACCGGAAGGATCGGGCCCGTTGCGGGCGGCAGGTGGACACTGGCTGCTGTCCCGAGAGCGCCCAGGTTGGCTCGTACGGGCTGGGTTGGCGCCATGGGAGGAATCGTCTTTGGGCGCGCTGGCAGGTAGTCACGGGAAGTTGCGGACGCTGGGAGGCCACAACACAGCATCCCATCACAGAATTGCCACCGTCACTGAGAACTGAGCACCGTGTGGGAATAATTGGGTGCCAGTGCCCTGCTCAGGTGCCTGGCAGGCCCCTAATGAAGGTGGGCGAGCAGTTCCTGAATTCTGGAGTGGGGGGGCGTTGCATATGGTGTGGACTAGGAGGTGTCGGTGATTTTGAGGGGCCTAGACACAGGGAAGAATTCAGAGTGGTGTGCGGGTGGGGAGGGTTGTCAGCTGGCAGTCAGTGCCAGGTCTGGGGAGTTAGGGTTTCCCCAGGAACACTGACTGGTTCCTACCAAAAGCAATACATAGATTTAATGCTGTTCCAATAAAAATCTCAATGACACTCTTCAAAGAAATAGAACAAATATTGATGAGATTTATATGGAACCACAAAAAACCTAGAATAGCCCAAACTCTCCTGACCAAACAAGAGAGGAGGCATCACAATCCCAGATGTCAACTCAAGATATAAATCCACAGGTGTATAGTCAGCTAAATTTTGACAAAGGAGCGAAGAATATGCAATGTAACAAAAAAAGTTTGTTCAGCAAATTGTGCTGGGAAAGTTGGACTGCCATGTGCAAAAAAATGAAGCTAGACTACTACCTCACACCATGCACAAAACCAACTCGAAATGGTTAAAGAACTAGTCATAAAACCCAAAACTATAAAATATATAGAAGAAAAGGTAGATGAAACTCTGATTGACATACACCTCAATGATATCTTTGAAGATACAACATCCAAAGCAAGGATAGTGAAGGAAAGGATAAACAGCTGGGACTATATCACAGGAAAAAGCTTCCGTAGAGCAAGAAAGACACTACACAAAACAGAGACACCCTACTGACTGGGACTGGAACTGGGGTGGGAAGAGTGCACTGGACTGTGGTGAGGTCACATGGGTGACGGGAGGCCCAAGGGGATTGCAACTGTGATGGTGGTGACATGGACAGAGGCCCAGGCACTAGTCAAGGAGGGAGGCATGGGTGCTGCCCAGCGGGGAATCCATGCGGTGGTCTGGCTGCGTGGTGACCTACAAGCGTGTGCAGCTGCTACCAGAGCTGGGCACCAGACTCAAGGGGCTGGGCAAATCAATTTCCAAGAACAATATGGAAACTGAGTTGTCTGCTCTGACCAACCTAACTGGGAAACCTCTTGAAGTATCAGAGAATATAGTTGGGTCTCAGCAATGGGAGGGAAATTGGTCTTAAAGTGAGTGTTATGATAACTCCATCTAAAAATGCTTAGAATTATAGTGTTTCCATGGAACTTAACTGTGTAACAGAAGAATTAGCCAAGAATATCTTTAGGAATGCAAATATCCTCCATGTTCAATCGGAATAGCACTATGTTAGCTATAGACAAAGGAGACTCCCTAACAAAAGTATGTAAACGGGACATTTGTTAGTGATGAAGAGGTCTCTTCATCAACTGGACCTATAAATGATAAATGTTTATTCACCTATCAAAAGAATTCTAAAATATGCAAAGCAAAATGTGATAGAACTACAGTTACAGAGGTTAATCCAGCTTTACACCCAGCGTGTTAACTGTTCTTTTCAAATACCGCAATCACATTATGAACCACTTTACCCTAGGCTGACATTTGTAGAACTCCCCACCAAACAGGAGGACACTACAGATTCGCTCCAACTTGACATCAGACACCAGAGAGCCCATCTTTGGGGCCATAGAGAAGCCAGTGTAAATAGTTTAAGTCAAACAGTACAGACTCTGACACTAATGGAATAAAAACCCAGTTGACAGAAAGGTACATCTCGAGTATCTGAAATAACTATTAAAGGAAGAGCCAGATGTCAAAAGAGAAATTTAAAAAGGAAACTACAGAATACTTTAAACTTAATTTAAATTAAAGCATAGCCAGTTCTGTGGGAAGCAACTAAGCACTAGTAATTGAATCAGTATGAAACACCTATGTTACGGCAGAAAAGACAAGATTTCAAATGAAGGATCTGTTTCCATGTTAAAAAGCAGCAAAAGAAGTAAAATAATTTTCTCCCTATAAAAATAGGGCCAAAAAAAAAAAAATGGGGCCATATTTTAAAAAAAATCAGTGAAGCCAAGTGCTTCATGATCAATAGAACTGATCATAAATTAAAATACAGACATTTCCAGTATTAGAAATAAGAGGTGGCATCACTACAGACTACTGCTACTAAAGTGATAATTTTTAAAAATTACTGACTAAGCTCAATGAAAGCCAACTGAAAAGCTCATGGGGAATGGGGGGGGGGCATTAATTTCTATTGCCCCATAACCTGTATGAAAATTAACTAATAGAGAACTTCCCATAGAATAAACTGAAGGTCCAACACTTCACAGATGAATTCTACCAATGAAGAGAGAACAGTTTTTCAGGAAATAAAAAAGTATTTGACCAACTTGGAAATGCAAGGTTGTTTTAACTTTTCAAAATCAGTCAGTGCGATGCATCACTGAAGACCGAAGGACACAGAACAAGCACAGGACTGTAGCAGCCAGCGGCTATGCCTGCGTGGAGTCCAGGTGGCACAGGCTGTGCCCCTCTCCCGTACCAGGCCTCGCCTAACTACCACACAGCGTGGGGAAACAAAGTAATACTAGGAAATGCAAACAAATCTAATGACAGCAAATCGAGAGGTTTCCTGGGCACGAATATGCTGGAACTTGGAATTCAGCAAACCGCACAATGTGTATGTGTTATATAAAATTTAGTGCAGAAAGTGTTTAGACTAATTGCTCTGACAGGAACCCTAGCCAGAGACAGATGTGGGAGTCCTGAGAACTGTGAACACCATACTAAAGCCGTCATGATGAAAACACTTGTGGATATGAGTCACATTCCCTGCCGTCACCTGACCACTTATAATTACCACTTTACCAATTATGATCTCCACACGGTCCTTGTCGGGGACAGTGACATCTGTCATTGGGTCATTTCAGAGATGTTGGCAGGTCCTGAGAGGGGCATCAAATTCTCATCAGAAGGGCTCCATGCTGTTCCTGGACTTATGAGAAGTCACAACAAATGCACACTGCTCGGGGCCACCTCGGCCACACATGTAACCCTGGCACAGGCCACAGGGTGGGCCCAAGTGAGTGGGGTTCTTTCCCAGGCTTTGGGGAGCAGCACAAGTTAGGCTGAAACCAGAATGAGAACTGCTTTTGTCTGCCATTCTAACACAGTCCAGCAGCTGGAGTTTTCCCAAAAGCTGTTCATCACTTCATGCTGGCAGAGACCAATTTGGTCCTCAAGTCTACAAAGTAAAGAGAATGTGAAAGAGCAGCAGTTTAAACACTAAGGCTTTTTTTTTTTTTGCAAAACCAGGACACGAGGCATGTAGTTCCCGTTGGTGACTCAGAGGCTGGAAAAGTCACCAATACATGAGCCCAGTCAAGTCTATGAAAGGTGGAAGCCTGGTCTCCACGTGTCCAGACACTAAGCACTTGCATCTTCCTAGCCTACACAGGGTCATGTTCTTGCTTAACCCAGTGGGCAGGTGAGTGACTGGGTGAGTGACTAGGGCCAAGAACCATCAGTTGGCTCCGGCTGATGACACCTCCTAGAGAGGGGAAGAGCAGGTGGCTGGGCCTATCAGAGACTGTTGGGTGATTATGGACAGTGAGAGACACGGACACTCGTAGGTGGTGGCTTCTCAGAGCGCCCAGCTGTGATCACTCTGGCAAGGGGATTGGGCAGGCTCCCAAGTGCATCATAGCTGCAGAATGCTTGCCCTGGAGCCGGCAGTCAGGAGAACCTCTCCAGGGGGGTGAGGTTCAGCTCGGGGCTGGTGGCTACTCAGGGAGGTTATGCACAGGTGCTGTCGTGGGAGTACAGGGACCCGATGCCCTGCTGTGCTTGCTAAGGCCTGTCTCCCGTGTGAACTTTCCAGTGTCGGATGAGGGAAGCCCTCTGTCTGAAGGCCTTCCTACACTCGCTGCACTGATAGGGCTTTTCTCCAGTATGAATTCTGTGATGCTGAACGAGGACGTGTTTGTGGCTAAATGCTTTTCCACACTCGCTGCACACATAGGGCTTTTCACCATTGTGAACTCTGTGGTGTGCAGTAAGATCAGAACTTTGGCTAAAAAACTTGCCACATGCAGTGCACTCATAAGGCCTGGCCCCGGTGTGAACACTCCAATGTTTAATGAGCCTGTACTTGTGGCCAAAGTATTTCCCACACTCACTGCACTCGTAAGGTCTCTCTCCAGTGTGGATACTTTCATGCTGAACAAGTGTGGACTTGTGGCTGTAGGCTTTCCCACACTCGCTGCACTTGTAAGGTCTTGCTCCGGTGTGGACTCTCTGGTGGACGATGAGGTTGGAGCTGTGATTGAAAACCTTCCCACATACACCACACTCATAAGGCATTTCTCCAGTGTGGATTCTCTGGTGCTGAGCAAGTATGGGTTTGCGGCTGAAGGTTTTCCCACACTCACCGCACCTGTAAGGTCTTTCTCCAGTGTGGACCCGCTGGTGCTGAACAAGGGAGTCTTTGCGGCTAAAGACTTTTCCACATTCACTGCACTCGAACTGCCTTTGCCCACCGTGAAATGTCTCTGCGTATTTGGGGTTACTGTGTGGCTTCCACTTCTTGAGAGAAGCTCGGAGCTGAAAAGTGCTTGAGGCAGTTGGGATATCCTTACAACCGTGCGAGGTCATAAAAGGCAGCTCAGCTGGTTGGACAGGACAGCTCTTCACAAGGAATGCTCTGCCCTCATCCCCTCTGAAGGGTTTCCCTCTGCCATGCTGCTTCTGGAGGTCCAGGTCACCCCCCAGCCAGAACTGTTCCCCACATGCAACACACATGTATGGTTTCCACCCAGGGTATGTTTCCTGGTACGAACTGTCTTTCATTACTGCCCCACATGTCTCACAGGGGGGGGCATTCTGGCTAGAAGAGCCTGTCCTTGGACTCCTGACCTGTGATAGCCCTACAGAAATGCTCTGCTCAAGAGGTAGCTCCTTGTCCTCCATCCCACGCCGACCACCTAAGAGCAGAGAATTGTTGGTGAGCTACAGCCTGATAATGGTGGGAGGGAGATTTTCATTACCAGTGCGTCTTAATGAACTGAGATCAGGGTCTCCAGTTGTGACAAAATGCCTGAGTTCGAGTTCTAGAAAGGCTGCTAACTGGTGGTTGGCATCTAAAACGAAGAGGCCCTTGACTGGGAGAGGATACCAATGACCACTACTGCCCAGGGGAAGAAGCTTGGGTCTCCCATGACGCTATCCTTGGTTTCTCGCAAGGCCTTGTTTTGTGGGGATAGGCAAAAGCTGTGTAGAGGTTGCACCGAGCAGTTACCTGAACAGTCAATGTTTGAGGACCACCTGGGGCACGTGACATTGTCACGACAGGCTAACAGTAGGCCAGTGCTGGGGCTCCGCAGAGGGAGCAGTGGAGAGGACAGGGGAGCAATATGTGAAACAGTGTATGAGTGGGAAAGTAAAGAAACAAGTGAAATGTGGCTGTGGCCGTGGCCTTGGGAGAACGACAGGCTGTGAGGCTCTGGGCTCTCAGAAACCCAGCCCCCACAGCGCGCCTGTCCCCGACCCCCACTGGCGGGCCCGCACCCACCCTCAGGCTTTCTGGTCACAGCTGGAGTCATGTCCCCCCAGCTGGTTACCCAGGGCTCACTGCTCAGCCCCAGTAGGGCAGCTCCACAGGACACAGGAGATCGATACCCTAAGGGAAATACAGGACAGGCAAATGGCCAGCACAGGCAGGAACCCCCCTCGGTGGTGAGAGCACAACATTACGTGGGCCTTGCAAGAATAACCCAGAGTCCAGCCAGCATGGGTCCCACAGGAGCTGTCAGGCAGAGCAAGGGGCGGGACCTGGATAGAGGACAGGGAATCTGGGTGCTGCACTGGGGGCCCAAGGCAGCCTGACTCCCGACCTAGCCTCGAGGCTGGGGCAGCAGGTCATGGGGCCAGGCAGGGCGGACACGGAAGCACTAGGCTCGGCCCGGCATGCTCAGGCCCACTCAGGGAACAGGGGGATGCAGTGCCATGCCTCTGACAGAGGAGCTGGGCGGCCCTGAGGACGAGGGAGGGGCAGGGCTCGGTCCAGGATGCTGGCACGAGTAAGGGCCTCACCCAGGGAGGCCACAAGTGCCCGGTTCTCCAGCATCACGTCCCGGTACAGGAGCCGCTGTGCCTCATCGAGGAGCCCCCACTCCTCCCGGGAGAAGTGCACGGCCACGTCCTCGAAGGCCACCTGCCCCTGCAGCAACAGGGAAGGTCGATTCCATGAGCAGCTGAGGACCCCACCCCTGCCCAAAGGCCTCGCTCCTGCATTCCTCCCTGACCCCTAACTCAGTGACAGGCAGGGTTGGGCGCCACTGGTGTCTGCCCTGTCCCGTGGCAAAGGGCCACCTGTACCCACAGAAGGTAGGGCAGACACCCCACGCCTCTGGGTGCTCACTGCTCCTGGGGTTGCTGAGTTGCGTTTCCCGTGTGACGGAAGTGGAGTCCTGTTCTCCCAGCGCCCAGGGCTGTCCGGAGTCCATCATGCACGTCACCCTCATGGACCGTCCTCTGCTTCACAGCCCTGGCCCCGCATCCAACTGCCGGCTTCCACTGACTTCCTGGCTCACAAAGCACACCGTCCCCTCCTCTTCCTCCCACACACCGCCTGCCACGTTTGGGACGAGGCCCCCAAGCCCCTCCACTGCAGCTCACTCGCAGGTGCCCAGAAGCATACGTGATACCTGCAGTGTTCGCTAGAACACAGACGACTCAGCCACACACCCCTCCGACCTCACTGCCCTGCCCGTCTCAACCCAGGGGGCTTCTGCGCTTCCACTTGAAGAGGCCCAAAGCCTTGGGGCGCCCTCTCACATGAGCAAAGGTTGGTCCGGTACCTTCTGCTGTCCACACCGTCCCACCACAGGCCGGCATTCCACCTGCCGTACTGAAGCGGCGTCCCCCGATCTCCTGTCTCCACCTAACGCCCCAGTCCTCAGCACACAGTCCCCCACGTGGCATTCAGGGTGAGACTTGGGCTAGGTCACCCCCTCCTCTGCTCCCACAAGGGGACACTCCGCAGCTACGGCGGGCACCTGCTCTTCCTGAGACCCCCGCCTCAGTCTCACCTCTGGGGACCCGCCTGCGCTGTTTCTGTGCCTGTAACAACGTCCATACCTCCTTCTACTCGGTGGCTGCCAGACATGGGGCCCTTCCACATAACACCTGGCCTGGACCCAGGACCCTCGCTCTGGGCTGTCGCCAGGGTCCGCAGACTCATGAGCTGGCAGAGTAGCGGCAAAGCTCTCCACAGTGCAGCCCCGGAGGCCATGGGTGTGGGGCCTGTGGGCGCGCGGCCCTCGCTGGACGCACGAAGGTCTGTGACGGGCCGAGGGGCAAGCGGTGCGCAAGGGGACCCAGCCGCGGGCCCGCGGGGTGGGCGGACCCGCACCTCCCGTCCAACTCCCCGTCCACCCAGCCCAAGTCGAGGGGCCCGGGCGGCGCAGGGGGCACTGCTAACACCCCGTGCTGCCCGG